GCTATCATATATCTGAGAATGGTTAAAAGCAGCTAGCACTGTGAGCTGGAAGGCCAAACCTATGAAATCTCAGTTAAATGAAATGGAAAACACTGATATTAGAATTGGCTCTAGAATTGGTGCATTGGTTTACAAAGTAACTAATGATCCCACAGTAGGCACAACGTATGTTGAACACATCATGTTCCATGAAACCAAAAGTTCAATTCAGATAGTGTTAAGCAGGGGTTAGGTGTGACTTGGTGCACACAAAGAGATGGAGTCCAGGTTCTCTCTCTAAGTCAATTTTAAGAGTAAAGAGATTCAGATAAGGAACCACCCTCTACCAGAAATTTAATTCATTGGCTTCTATCAAAAATTGAACCTAGTGGCACAGTGGTTAAAGTGCACTATTGCAGTCAAACTCTGCCCACAGCCTTATGCACTCCCCTTATGGACCTCTTAGGAATGGGGTGAGGTCAATAGTGGATAGTTTGAGGTTAAAGGAGAGGGGATTAGAGGATGTAACAACAGAGTCAGGTAGTGCATTCCAGTCATTGACCGCTCTGTTGCTAAAGTCGTACTTTCTGCAATCAAGTTTGGAGTGGTTAACATTGAGTTTGTATCTATTGTGTGCTCTTGTATTGTTGCAGTTGAAGCTGAAGTAGTCATTGACTGGTAGGATATTGTAGCAGATAATTTTGTGTACTACGCTTAAGTCCAACCGTAGGCAGCGTAGTTCTAGGTTGTCCAAGCCCAAAATTTCAAATCTGGTGATACAGGGTATTCTGTTGCGAGCATAGGAGTGTAGTACTCTTCTCGTGAAATACTTCTGGACTTGCTCAATTGTATTAATATCAGATATACAGTGTGGATTCCAGACAGATGAGCTGTATTCGAGTATTGGTCTAGTAAAGGTTTTGTATGCCCTAGTTAGCAATTCAATATTTCCAGAGAAGAAGCTTCATAAGATTAGATTTACAACTCTTAAGGCCTTTTTGGCAATGCTGTTACAGTGAGCTCTGGCGCTTAGGTCATTAGATATGAGTACTCCTAGGTCCTTCACAGAGTGAGGGCCATCATGATCTATTGGTATTGATATGTACATATCTATACAGTGGAGTATGACATAAGGTATTGTGATACCCTTATCTCTCTGCTTTGAGCAGCTTTGTGTGTCATGTGCTGAAAACACTTCAAATATGTAACACTGCAATCATCTTGGCAACAACCCTAGGATGGATGTAGTTCTATTTTAGCTATAATTTGGGTGAAGACTGAGATATCGCAAGGCGCTTAAGGACTTTGGTAAAATTGACAGATACAAAATTGGAACCAGAGACTTTTGTGACAGGAAAAAGACAGAAACAAACACTAGCATAAAGAGAAAAACATTACGTTAAAATAAAATGCAGGAATAGGTATCTATTTTCCACAACAGGAAAATATATTGTGGAAAGAGAACAACGGTTGCATTTAAAGAAGAAAAATGGATAATAGCCATTTCTGTTACATCTAATCTATTATTGCACTTTTGTGTTACACTAGATATGGGCTTCTGTTTGTACATGTAATGTTAAGGCAACATAAATAACATATTGCCATTATTGTTTTAACTCCCTGACACCAGGAATTATACTTTTCTTTGCCTTCATGTACTCTGTCTAATTTGTTGATTGTTTATGATAGAAGACTGAGAAAATTTAGTTAAAGGCAGGACTTGCGTTTTGTTTTATTTGGGTGAAGAATGTTGAAATTCTCAACACAAATGGAGAAAATGGAAATAAAATAAAGGAAAGAAATAGAATAAAGAATACTGGCAAATGATTGAAATGAAAATGAAATGTTTGCAGAAAGAGCAAGTAGACTGGAGAGTGAGTGTGGGATTTGTGGATATATGAAGCAGAGGCCTGATACGATAGACAGCCAAAGTTCTCACATGAGGCACAAATGACCAAGGTTGTGTGAGAGGTTTTCTGGCTTTCTGGAACAGGCTGTAATTGTCAAGCACTGGGGCAATCAGGAGATTCAGGCAGTTCAAAGGAATATAAAGATGTATTGCAAGCTTAAGCTCTCTACAAGAATCTGACCAATTAACAGTCAAGAGAAATGAGCAGGAAATAAGAAAGACATTCAAGGTGGGCTGGACTTAGATCTCTTGTGGGGGCACAGGGATTCATGACTGATGACACATTTGACCCTTCCCTCAGTTTCAGCCTGGTCATCTCCTACAGTATGGAGGATTGTATACAAATTGGAAAGGTAGAAGGAAAGGAAAGAAGACAATGACCATCAGTTAAGGTGGTGATGTGTCCACTATCAGGAGAGTTGAAAGAACAGGTTGTGAATAGATTGCCATAGATAACATATATCCATTGCTAAAATAATCATTAAAATATGTTTTGCAAATGAGTGAGCAGTGCCGGAATAAGAGAATCCAGCAAAGTGACTGGAAGTAAGACTAAAAGTGGTCAAATTATTTGAGACATTGAAGTAAGGGAAGACTGGAAGGAATTGAAGAGTTTTGATAGATCCTCCTCCTCTCCACAAACCTCTCTCTCTTCTAGCACTGATGATATTACCCAGTTGGGTAATGAAACATCTGCAAGAAAACAACCAAGCTCAGAGAGCACCAAGGACCTCATAATTCTCCTCCTCCTCCTCCTCCTCCTCCTCCTCCTCCTCCTCCTCCTCCTCCTCCTCCTCCTCCTCCTCCACAAACCCCTCTCTCTTCTACTACTGATATTACTTAGCTGGGTAATGAAACATCTGCAAGAAAACAACCAAGTTCAGAAAGCACCAAGATGAGTTAGCATGTACACTGTGTAACAGATTCCACACAAGGCTTGGAAGCAGAAGAAAGTGAATGAATGTTTTCATTTATTTATTTAGTTGTTTGCTTGTTCATTAGATTTATTTATCTTTTTATTTATTTGTTTGTCAAATATGCACAAGATAACAAGTATAGGTATGAACATAAACATGAATAAAGGAAGTAAATACAGATAAATGGGGACAGTAAGACAGGGACAGTAGGCATGCTGGTGCACTTACGCACACCCCCTTTAAGGACCTCTTAAGAATGGGGTGAGGTCCACAGTAGACAGTTTGAGATTGAAGTTGTGAGGCTTTGAGGCTGTAACAACGGAGTCAGGTAGGGCGTTCCAGGCATTGACCACTCTGTGGCTGAAGTTGTATTTTCTGCAATCGAGTTTGGAGTGGTTTACTTTGAGTTTGTATCGGTGTTTGCCCATGTATTATTGTGGTTGAAGCTGAAGAAGTCATTGACAGGCAAAATGTTGTTGCAGACAATTTTGTGTACTATGCTTAGATCGGACCGCAGGAGGCACAGTTCTAGATTGTCCAAGGCATAGGGAATTTTGTCTCTCATCTCATCTAGAGGTGTCTCTGGGCAGCAATATACAAGGAACAAACAACTCCCTAGCTCTAATTCTACTTACTCTCAAGATAGCCCTTATACATCCTTGAAATGGGATCTGCAGACAGAAATTAAAAGTCAACAGCTACGGTAACTTTATTCTTCCCTAGCAGAGGGCGAATTTTCCCCAGACAGGTGCTGTTTGTTTGGCAGCTGTCTGGCTTATGCAAGATGGGAAGGATAAGAACTTAAAAACAGAGAATGTAACAGACTTCATAAGTAAGCAGTGCCTGCTCACAATTTTAGCCGTTAGTCATAAAAATGCTTCCATGTTATCTGCAGGAACAGCATGGCAATCACTTCCAGTAATATGATGGAAATTCTATAAACTGTCCCCAATACTTTGAAATACTTTATAATGTTAAGGGCATTAACATTTTTTAAAAAGTTCTGAAAGGCAAATATGAATTTAAGTCCCATTCAAATCAATCAGTATTTGTTCCCCCTAAGACTGAAATCTAGATATACCTAACAGAAACTGATTTTTCAAAGGAATAATGATCTCTCTCTCTCTGTCTCTTTCTTTCCCTTCCCTGCTTTTTGCTATTCCATTTTAAAATATAATGGACCTATGGGAACTTACTTTATGCATAATAAGCGTGTAGAAAGAAAGAAAATCTGTTACTTACTTTGAGATAATGTTCATTTCTCTGCACTCTGAAAGTAAGGAACTTCACCCCTGCAGTAGGAGTTTACCTCCAAGGCAAGCATACACAAGTGAACCACAAATTCATTTTTAATACAAATACAAAGTGGGCAAGAATCCCATTTATGGGTCAATTCCTAGAAGGGGAGAAATATTAAAAGAAGACATTGTAGTTACTTAACCTGCTTAACTGATTGCTAATTTCCTAAGAATTTCTAGCCATTGGAAGAAGAATATTAGATAATTGTGGTCTCATCAAAAAGTCCTAAATAAATCATTGTTTGGTATACTAAGCTGTGTTCACTAAACTGTTAATATTTGTGTGATGTTTAGATAACTTTACTTTTTAAGGCATGCAATTATCTTTCCTAAAAATAACCTGATGACAGATACTTAACAAAGATATTTTGTAAGCATTGGAAGAAGCAATATGTTTTATTTATCATTGTTTAGCATGGATTTGCATTTATTATTTATGTGCATAATTTATTTAAACATTTACATAGCCACCTGTCTTACCAAGATGACTTGAGGTAGCATTAGAAAAAGGATTAAAAGCAAAAAAGCCCCCCACACAAAATAATACATTTTTTTTTTTAGAAAAATGAATATTTTTTAAAAAAACAATAATATATTGTGTTACTCCTTGGGATTGAAAAATCATTCCAGCTTGCACCCAGAAGTCACCTTGGTGTTTATGCAGCTTGCACAGCAGAGGTATTTATATGAACACTAACCAATAACCCGACATTGCCCGAGTATTTAGTTATACTAATCCTGTATTAGACAGGAAAAGCCCTGATTTCAGTGACAATTAACTGGAACAAACATAATTTCTAATCTTGGATTTTTCCCCTTACCAGAGAGAGCCCCCTTGTGAAGCTGTTACCATGGCAACTCCACAGTGCTGTGCAGTAGAAGCCATGTTAAGGCAGTACAGTAGAAGTCATTTGAAGGCACAACAGGCTGTATCTTAATAGAACACACACCCCGAGGGGTGTTAGTGGTGTCTTACCCCCCACAGTATTTGTTTCCAAAGAGTAAATAATCTGTGCACCAAGTTTGGTTGAAATTGCTTGAGGTGTTCCAGAGTTATACCGGAACATACACACACACATTGTGCTGTTGCGTATTTGACCATTTGTAGCTTCTGAATACTTAAGCAGTGATAGGATTCAGCCAGTTCACACCACTTTGGGAGAACCAGTTGTTAACTTTCTGACAGTTTGGTGAACTGGTTGTTGGAAGAACTTATTAGAGCAGAGAACTAGTTGTTAAATTATTTGAATCCCACCACTGTGCTTAAGCATTCCCCAAAAGATGCTTAATTTTGTGGGTGGAGATTCATTCTCCAAGCTTGTAGGTAGGTTTCTGAATTTTCATTTCAAGGGTTAATGAAGCATTCGGAAATCAATCCACTAGTTCAGAGAACAAATCTCCACCCTCATCCTACATCCAAGGTACAGATATTTGCTTAATTGTTTCAGGCAAGCAAACATTTTAAGTAGATTTAGTGTCCCATCTTTCCTGATCAGGAATTTTTGTTGTTAAGCCTTCCGATCCAGGAACAAAATCCCACTAAATTCTTATCAAGTTTCATCAGACCTCAGCAAGGAATTAATCATTCTCAGAGAAAAGAATAGCAGTTCCAAGTGGCTAGGTCCACCCTGTTATGGATTTTATCAGCAGAAATTTCATCAACTGGAGTAATTGAGAAGTCTTAAGTAAGAAATGTTGCCAAGACAAAAGTGAACTCAGGCAGAATTTATATATTGTTCTTGATCAAGCACATATTCAGCATTCTTATTCCAAATAGTTAAGTGACTTTTGTTAATTTGCTCTTGCAGAACTAGCGAGTTGGGAAAAAAAAAACCACTGGCATTCCAAATCAGAACAAATCTCTAACTTGGTGGGCTTCCAGTACCTTAAAGAGTAAGAAGCCTAAATATGAGTTACAAAGACTGAGTTGGAGCTGGGTAGTAGAAATGACAGGAAAAAAGTGAGCATTTTCCTGATGAATTCACTGCAAATTTCACCAAAATCTACTGCTAGATATTGTAGTGTGCTTCATTTAATTTAGTTTACTTTACTTTATTGTTGTTGCACCTTGTATAACGAAATTAAATACCATCTTCAGTATACATTATGACTATGAAAATAAACACAAACATGCATCCTTCACATTCTATACATTGAATTGAAAACCCCTGATATTGCATTAATATTGCACTATACAGAAGAATTCAGTAGAGCTGTTTTTTCAGATAGAAGCTGTTTTTCAGCCTATTTGTCCTTGTTGTTATTATCCTGTACCATCTGCCAGATGGTAATAGTTAAAAAAAAGAATGCTCAGGATGAGATTGGCCTTTGAGAATGTTTTGAACTTTCTTGAGGCAGAGGGAGCAATAAAGCTCTTCCAAAGATGGGAGAGGGCAACCCATGATCTTCTGGGCAATGACGTTAACCCTCTGGAGTGCTGTCCTATCTGCCACTGTGCAATTGGCAAACCATACACAGGTATAATCTTTGCTTCTATTTGCTGAAATCCTATGTGACACACACACACACACAATTTTTTTGGGTAACCTTTCTTCTTAATAGGCTTAACTGAGAAATTCTAGTAATGTAGATTTGTTGTTGTTAGTCACGAAGTCATGTCCGACCCATTGTGACCCCATGGACAACGTTCCTACAGGCCTTCCTGTCCTCTACCATCCTCCAGAGTCCATTTAACCTCACGCCAACTGCTTCAGTGACTCCATCAAGACCCCTCATTCTCTGCCGTCCCCTTCTTCTTCTTTTGCCCTCAATCATTTCTACCATTAGGCTCTTCTCCAGTTACTCCTTCCTTCTCATTAGGTGGCCAAAGTATTTGAGTTTCCTCTTCAGGCTCTGGCCTTAATCTGTAATGTAGATTGCAGATGTATTGAAACTTGAAAAAATAGGTTTCACTTTGTTCACCATACCCTTTATCTTCAACCACTGATTTAGAGAAAGAAAGTTCAGCAGGTCAATTATTAAGAGAAAATCTTTGAAACTTTCAGATCCGGTTCAATGTTTTCCTTCAGTTTTATGATCTTCACCCAAAACTGCTCCAAGGATCATAGAAAGAAGTGAAAGTATCTTCAAATATTTCTAGTCGTACAGGAGTTCCATTTTGCTGCACTGCTGTTTCCAACTTGCTGACTGCAATAGATTGAAACAATGACATTTTGAAACAAAAGGAAAACGCACAGGTAAGGCAACAAGAGATATCTCAGCCCACCAAAGGAATGGGATGGAGAAAATAACTCAAAAGAGATCCTCCTCAGTTCTCTGGAAGTAAAAGCAATGAGGAGGAGAAGTGTTTTAAGACTTTCAAATTTTGTTACTATAATTTGATGTTCTGTTTGGCAATGATAGCAGAAGGCTGTTTAAGAAGGTAAGGAATGGGAAGCAGGGGTGATCTGCTACTGGTTTGCCCCAGTTCAAGTGAACCGGTAGCTGATTTTATCATTTTTTAATTACCAGTTTGGTGAACCAGTAATTCCCACCCTTGGCTGGCCTTGCCCCCCCCCCGCCTGCCCCTCCCAGGAGTCATTGTGTGGCCTGTTTTGGCTGCCAGGTAAGTGCAGGGCCCACATGGAGGCTCAGGGAGGGCAAAAAATGGGCCTCCTGGAGGCTCAGGAAGGCTGGAAACAGGCCTGTTTCCTGCCTCCAGAGGGCCTGCGGAGCCTGGGGTAGGCCATTTTCAGGCCAGGAAAGCCTCAGGAGCCTGGAGAGGGCGAAAACGGCCACCCTGCCATGGTGCAGGAGGCCGATTAGGCCACACCCACCATGGCCACACCCACCCATCAACCAGGCAGACAATCAGTTGCTGAAATTTTTGAAGCCCGCCCCTGTTGGGAAGTCTTTCTCACTTTTGCTTTTAAGACTCCCAAGAACATTATCATACAAAGGCATGAAATTTAGTGTGAGCTTTTCTTCCCAAGTGATTGTCACCTAATTTGGATGTATTCCAAAACTAGCTATTTTGATTCAAGGAAAAGGAAGTGATAATCAGGATAAATTTAGAGATGTCATGTTATTGTTTAATTCAACTTTAGACTTTAGCTCAAGCATCCAGATATTTTAAATAAACCTTTATTTTGGTTAATTCTTTCCTGCAATTTAGAAGTATAGATGTTGCCTGTCTTAAAACATAATCCATGTTCCATTGGTGAATTTCAGCAATCACAGTTTTATTACTGCATCATCATAGCATAAGTTACTGGTCTAGGCTGCAATTCACATTGCTACTAAGTGCTAAAAGCTGTAATGTTTTATGTATAACATAAAACATTTATTAAACCAGTAAATTACCAGCCTCTTCTTTCCGTACAAGCCAAATCTGAATGCTTAGACACATTATTTTAAAACAGTGTATCAGATTAAAATATATAGCTATAAAACTTATAAATAATAATTATTGTAAAATCTAGACTCCTTAAGAATGAGATTACAAGTGAAAATGATATTGGTTTTGCATTACAGAATATTAACATATTAATTAATGTTTACTCCAAAAAGCAAGTAATTATATTTTTATGTATTTGCCAAGATACTTTCATATATAAACAGCTTATGCTTCTAGTTAATTGGCAGATTGCATTCACAAATAAATGTTATGCATAAATTTCCTTTCTCCGAAATAATTCTCTGTATAATTTGGTCAAATTATTCCATTACTATTAATCATAAGTAATTCATTTCAAAACTGATGGGTACTACTGTGTTTCTCCAACAATACGGCCTGCACCAATAGGAAGGCCCAGCATGTTTTATTGGCATAAAATCAAATTAAGTCCCTCCCCCCAAATTTAGGCCTATTTTAAAACGTGCAAAATAAGGGGGAAGGGTGGGGGGACTTGCTGTTAGGAGCGCCCTGAGGGCAGCAATTCCTCACCACCAGCTGCTCCTAATGGGCGATCATGGCAGAGCACGGAGAGCTCCCTACTCCTGCCAAGCACGTTTGCTGCAGACACGAGACCTTCAGTTCTTGCCGCTGTTGGTTTCCCTTCTGCCCATACTACCGCCACGTTTGGAGCTGCCACTTCTACATTTGGAGCACTGCCGCCGTTTGGAGCTGCCACTTCTGCGTTTGAAGCACTGCCACTGTTTGGAGCACCGCCGCCGTTTGGAGCTGCCGCTTCTGTGTTTGGAACCCCACCGCTGTTTGGAGCACTGCCGCTGTTTGGAGTTGCCATGTCTGCATTTGGAGCTGCCGCCGTGATTGGAGCTGCCGCTTCCGTGTTTGGAGCACTGCCGCTGTTTGGAGCACTACTGCCATTTGGAGCGCTGCCACCACTCCAAACATGGCGGCAGCTCGAAATGCGGAAGCGGCAGCTCCAAACGTGGCGGCGGTGCTCCAAATGGCGGCAGCACTCCAAACATGGAAGCGGCAGCTCCAAACGTGGCTGCAGCACTCCAAATGGCAGTGGCACTCCAAATACGGAAGCGGCAGCTCCAAACGTGGTGGCGGTGCTCCAAATGGCGGCAGCACTCCAAACACGGAAGCGACAGCTCCAAACGTGGCTGCGGCACTCCAAATGGCAGTGGCACTCCAAACACGGAAGTGGCAGCTCCAAACGTGGTGGCGGTGCTCCAAATGGCAGCAGCACTCCAAACACAGCGGCGGAATGGGCAGAAGGGAAAGCAACAGCGGCGGGTGCCAAAGGTCTTGGGTCTGCAGCAAAGGTGTTTGGTGGGAGTAGGGAGCTCTCTGCGCTTCGCCATGATCACCCGTTAGGAGCGGCTGGTGGCGAGGCTACCCATGGAGCACTCTAGATGAGGATGAAAGGGGGGGAATTAAGTCACCCCCGAAAAGACGGCCTAGCCATTTTTTCGGGGCTCAAAAAAAAAAAATAAGGCCTGGCCTTATTTTGTGAGAAACACGGTATTAGACTTACCAAATATAGATTATATATCTGTCACATTGCCTACATGGCAGGATGCATCTAAATAATTCACACTACCACTCATTTACTCCAGAATTTTCTCCCTTAAACCTAGTGAGAAAATCCTTCTGTGCAAAATATTTTATGACTGTCTTGCTAGTTTGATTTTTAAAATTAAAGTTTGTTCATAATTTATACCATAAAAGAGAATACCTAACATGCAATCAATATTTAACTAGTTCTGTTTTCTATAGCCAGTAAGAATAAAGTTCACCCTTGGTCTAAATTGAAGAATTACAGTTGACTTTACGGACTGGTATATTGCCTAAATCTTTATCCACTCATTCAATTCATCTTTGTTGTGTCATAAGTTTATGAAACTTTTTTTAGGAACTATTAATTAATTTGTTTCAGTAATTCAGTTAAGGTTGTAATTATTCAAATGTCATGGAGACACACACACACACACACAGAGAGTACGTGTGTGTGTGTGTGTGTATTTGTGTGTGTGTGTGTGTGTTGGGGACCTCTAATTCTAAAAAGGTTGGAATCAGAGGTGGTATTCAGCAGGTTCTGACAAGTTCTGGAGAACCGGTAGCGGAAATTTTGAGTAGTTCGGAGAACCGGCAAATCCCACCTCTGACTGGCCCCGCCAACCCCATCTATTCTCTGCCTCCCATCGAGTCCCTGCTGATTGGCTGGGTCTTCTTTGGTTTCTGACACTTTCTTCACCTACACATACAATATATAATGTTTTTATTCAGTAGTGTAAAGAAGTCATAGTGTCATTATAGCCTTGAAATAGACCTAATATTTCAAGTAGATTAAATGGCTTTTTTTTTTTTCAGAGCAATCGCTCTAAACTTGTGCATTTGTTCTGAAATTGTGAAAATAAATAAGAAAAGCAGCCAAAGAGTTTCCTTCATAACATTGTAATAAATTCTACAGGGATTAACACTGAGGACCCAAAAGCTTTCTCAGTTCCGGAATATATTCCCCCTCTATCTATAAAATTTGATCGCTCTGTTTTCTAACCAGGAAATGATTTATATGCAAAAGCATGACACACTGAGAAATATTGCTTAATTATAGGTTTCCATCATTTTTTGAATTCAGTATTTGGAAGTATAAATATGATATATTTCAGTTCTAGGAAATGTGTGGTGAATCAGAAAGTTTTATGCTTAACATTTTTACCTTGAAATAATATATAATATCCTTATCCTTATTAATCAAATATTCTTTTTTCTGTAAAGTTCTTTTATTCTGGACAGAGGTCTAGGTTTTTAGTTGTAAATCTTCTGCAAGCTCTGATAATATTTTGACTGTTAATACTACTCTATAGGTAAACTGGTTCACATCTATTTAGAAGCATGGGTTTCAGACGTGGTATTCAGCCGTTCGGACCAGTTCTGGAGAACCGGTAGTGGAATTTTTGAGTCGTTCAGAGAACCGGCAAATCCCACCTCTGACTGGCCCTGCCCCCATCTATTCTCTGCCTCCCAAGTCCCAGCTGATTGGCTGGGTCTTCTTTTGTTGCCCTGCACAGGAGAATGGAGCTGGAAAGCAGGTTAGTGGGGTGGGAATGGAGATTTTGCAGTATATCCTTCCCCTGGAGTGGGGTGGAAATGCAGATTTTTACAGTATCCTTCCCCTGCCACACCCACCAAGCCACGCCCACAGAACTAGTAGTAAAAAAAAATTGAATACCATCACTGATAGGTTTCAACCTTTCCTAACTACAGCATATATAACAAGAGAGAAGAACTTCTGGTCTATGGACTTAATCCACTTCACCAGTCTAACTCCTTGTTAGCAGTGTTCCAATATTTGAGGAGCTTCCACCAAGAAGAGGGGGTCAACCTAGTCTCCAAAGAAGCTGAAGGCAAGACAAGAAGCAATGGATGGCAACTAATCAAGGAGAGAAGCAGTTAAAAACTAAGGAGAAATTTTCTAATAGTTAGAACAATTAATCAGTGGGACGTCTCGCCTTCAGAAGTTGTGGGTGCTCCATCAATGGAGGTTTTTAAGAAGAGATTGGACAACCATTTGCTCTTCTGCTTGAGAGGTGGCTGGACTACAAGACCTCCAAAATCTCTTCCAACTCTTTTATTATTTTATTGTGGCACAGTGGATCTTGAACAATCTCCCTTCTTCCCAATTTTGCTACAACAGGAACCATCTCTGAAGATATTCCCATGCTTTTTTCAAAATGAGCACTATTATAATTTTGCTCTTTTCATTTTCAATAGTAATCTTTAAAAATAATCCTACAAATGACCTTTGTTGATTTGTATTCTGTGACTCTTTTTTTTTTTAAAAAAAAGACCGCATTTGATATTTTTTACATTTCATGGGTTGAAATTCTGTTAAAATTGTACCTGGACTATTTGACGTCTCTCTCATGGTCCCCTTCCTTCTCAACTAGCTTCAACTTCTTGCTTCCATCCATGGATAATTTTGGTTTTCAGAAGCTACCAGAGAAGACATGATAGAGCAGAGACCTACGAAGTAAGGGTCTAAATGATTCGGAGAACGTCTAGATCTCTTTCTCACCAAAGCCTGCAACATATTTAGGGAAGCTTGTGAGCTGTCCTAGATATATTCCAATCTACTTTTTTGGGGGAGGGGAGGAGGAAGAAATGATGTAAACACATCTCTCTTTCCATTTCCAACATGCTGGGCTGCAGCCAGCAGAGCATGAGATTGAACAGAATGAGCTGTCATTGGAGCACTCCAATTTGACCTTCAAACTGCTCATAAATGAACTGGAGTTTTGTTTCATCTCTCTGAAAGCCATGCTGTTTAAATGGAGACATACTGGAAAAGGAACAGCGCTGCCAGAAATGGATTTAAAGTGCTGCACTAGAAGCTATGCTTGGGATGTAATTCCAGGAAGGTTAGCATCAGCACACTCAAAACCTTGTGAAAACATAGCACAATATAATTGTGTGTTATCTTAGTTCAGATGATTAATTGATGGTGCACACCTGGCTTTGACATATGTTCCAGATCTGTAAGAAGGTAAATGAATTAGGTATCTGAGATAGTTGTCACACTCTGAAGTTTTATATTACACACTAGGGGGGGAAATTAATGTTAAGTACACCTCCTAAAACTTAGCACTGAGTGAAAGATTCCAATATTCCATATGAAGTAAAGTCCTCCACTAGATAGTTTATCTTCAACTGAATTGTTTTCTTATGCATTTTTAAATCAGGAAATGTTGTTATTAGCTCACCTTCAAAAAGGAATATTTGAAAACCTGCCTCTAAAATTTGAGTGTACCTTTTTAAATATAATACCCGCATCCTTACATATATTAGATCAGTTGCCAGTGAAATTACCTTCTATACATAAATTGTGTGTTTGGGCCTTTAAGTCAGTGTTGATTGCCCAGACTAGTCCTTGCAGTATTCTTGGCAAGATTTCCAGAAATGGTTTGCCACTGCCTCCTTCCTAAAGCTGAGAGGGAGGGCTGGCCCCACTGACTCTGTGCCTTAAGGCTGGACTAGAACTTATGATTTTGAGAGGGGTGCCTTAGCACTACACCAAACTGGCTCTATAACCTAATTAGGAAAATGCAAACCCAAATATTTATAAGAATTGGGCAAATTAACATAAAACTATTTATAAATCAGACATTCATTTTTTTAAAAAAATGCAACAGCTTCTATCACAATTTGATTGAACTTCTCAATCAAACTTTTGGTCCATCTAGTTCAGTTTAGTGTGCTGACTCTATAAACCTTCAAATAGCTTCTATATCCAGAAATCCTGGGAACTAAGCATTAAAGCTCCTGCAAGATATTCCATCACAGAAAATGTGCTTTGCAAACGTTGTGCATTGCTGGGCTGAATTAATATTTAAGAATGGTTTAGCATCTACGCTCCCAACAACAAAATAACAATACTCTATTGCCAAATTATGTTTTATCTTATATGAAAATCAGATTCTTCAGTTGGTTGCTTCTAGAGACCACTAGGACAATGCAAACCAAAGATGAAATCCAGTTTGACACCCCTGCAATAAGAGTTACAGAGCAAATTGTCACTTGCTAACACTTGTATATCTTGGGTTTTTTGTATGAATAGGAGGAACCCTAAGAAGAATATTGTTTATTAAACATGAGAAAAGTGCCAAGAGGCCTATAAAGACAAACAGAATCAAAGTTTGGTTTTGTCCTAATTACCATATTTCTAGGAACAGTAAGCATGTTCAGTTTATCAAACAGTAGATCAGACAGTTCTGCAACTGAGGTCTCAAATGAAAATTAGCTCAAGTTACCCTCCCATTCTATTCAAGAATACAGAAAGAGGCAATTTAACTCTGATTATACAAGATGATTATACCAGATTTGTGGTTTCAGAAAACAAGATCCAATTTTCAATCAAATAGTATTGTTCCCCAAAAATGCATCTGAAATATGCATTAAAAGTCTCCATAGAATGGAATTAGATGGTAACTATCAGCTTTATTGTACTTTTAAAAAAAAGTTTTGGACATTGTGTTGTCAATTTAAAAAAAATTATGGCAAGAGACCAACCAGAGCACATAGCTTGGTTTACGATTTGTATTGATCTTTCCCTCCAAGAGGTATTTAGGAATCTGTACAGGTATTTCAGTTTTTCACAGACTTTTTTCTTCTTCAGGAAGTGCAAAGTAATCTAAATTCCGCATCCAGCTTTGGTTGCCATCTTATATGGAGTGCCTCGATATTCAATATACTTTTTGCTCCAGTGTGACATCATTATGAGGTCATTTTAGGTCCAATATCAGTTTACTGATAATTATAACTTGTGTTCTATTAACAGAATAATAGAGTTGGAAGGGATCTTGGAGGTCTTCTAGTCCAACCCCCCAAGTAGGCAATCCTATACCTTTTCGAACAAATGGTTGTCCAATGTCTCCTTAAAAAACTCCAGTGATGGAGCCCCCATAATTTCTGAAGGCAAGCCCTTTCACTGATTAATCGTTCTATAAGGACATTTCTTCTTAGTTCTAGGTTATTTCTCTCCTTGATTAGTTTCCATCCATTGCTTCTTGTCCTGCCTTCTGGTGCTTTGGAGAATAGTTTGACTCCCTCTTCTTTGTGGCAGCTCCTCAGATATTAGAACACTGCTATCATGTCATCCGTTACTCCTTCTTTTCATTAGGCTATATACACACCCAGTTCCTGTAATTCTTTGTATGTTGTATGTTTTAGCATCTGGTGTCCTAACCTTCTTTGTTGCTATTCTCTGCGCTCTTTCTAGAATTGTGTGTGTGTGTGTGTGTGTGTGTGTGAGAGAGAGAGAGAGAGAGAGAGAGAGAGAGAGAGAGAGAGAGAGAGAACTGGATGCAATATTCCAAATAGGGTCTTACCAATGCATAATAAAGTGATACTAACAATTCTAAAGCATTAGGCCCTGAATAGGACTACACTTTATAAATTTTATTATAAACTGGTTGTAGCATATTTTTTAATAATAATCTGATCCATGTGACACAATTAGTCAATATCTTTAAAGTTTATTCATAGATGTCATGGATCCTCTCTTGAATGTTTTCTATTCAATGAAGTATGTTAAGAAGGTGCTAGAAGAATTTGCAAAGATGTCAGGATTATCAATTCACATTTGAAGTTATTTCTTCAAACCCCTCCTAAAATTCAAAAGAGGCATCTGGAGACTTAAAAATTCTAATAGCATATAAACCTTTAAAATGTTTAGGGGTCAATATTACAAAAATATTAAGAAATACATTTATAACCATACTGCAACATGGGGGGGAAAAACTGGCCTAAAAAGATACACCAATATTTTAGGATGAATTGCAGCTGTTAAAATGTCCTTGCAAGACACCTTTTTTAAAATTCCAATGCCTCCCAGTGGAAATTTTGAAACAGATATTAAGACATTGAGAAGTGGGTCTGCGGAAAGAATTTGTTTTCATGGAGCGATGGTGGTGGTAAGAAGAGATTGAAAGAGAATCTATAAAAAAATTATATATATAGACCTCTGTAGCGAGGAGGCTCTGGAATATATAACTTAAATATCTCTCTATATATATTAGCAAGCAGCACAGTTAGGGCACATTATTTTGTTCATCTTAACAAATCTATCTAAAACTGGATCAAAGAGAAACAATATCACAGCCAGATACTGTTATAAATCTAAATTAAAATAACATTAATCATGGTTTTAGAAAACTGAAGTTCTATGTTTGGAAAAAAATTGCACGCAGTCTTGACGAAGAACACTTCTCCTCCAGCACTTTTCAATAGCATACATAGATCAGGATGAACATTCTGGTCTGGCTCAAATAAAATTTGAAGAGGTTTTAACCTTTATAAGACAAAAGATTTCTACTGCAAATGGAAGCTGTAAAAATAATAACAATGGCAATAACAAGAAGAAGAGATCAAGAAATGATTAGGTGATTATTTGCCATGGTTTTCTGGTATCAACTTGAATCTTATTAGGTCATAAAGATGTTATAGTTTCAACCATTTGCCCTTATACCAGTTTCTAGAATTTAATACTCAGCTATTGGAAACAATCAAAAGCAATAATGTTAAACATTTATAGAATAGTATTGTAGTTAGAAAAAGAGATTTACTTTTTGACTTAAAGAGAATGCTGGCTCTGATGAATTCAACTTCTATGTGAATCCAACTCAACTTCCAATCTCTCTTCCATTGACACTGTTCTGTCCTCACTGCATGTTAGTCTGTGTGCAGCTTGACATGCAGCTAAACCCACCTATCTTCCAATAAAACAGACCATGTTTGTAGATCTGAATGCTTTATTGAAAGAACAGGATATGATGAAATTGGGGAAAATAGGGATACATACAATGAGAACCAAATACAAGATAGGCCATTGAGTTACTGCTGAACATAACAATTGATAAATAGAAGCAATTTAAGTATCATCAGTGATGCTCTGTATGTGTGATGTGGGTTTGTCCTTGGATGACCATGTGCCACAGATTAGGATGGATTCTTCTTTGTGCTTCTGCCTTCTCTAAATGCTAAAGGAAATGAAGTCTGGTTTCCCAGCTTGCACTTGGTTTGAGAGTGAGGGCTCATGCGTAAAATGGATCGGGTCAGCTTCAAACAATATACTTGATATTTTGTCCCTCCGGCCACTAGATGGGGCTAGAGAGCAACAGCAGTAAATAAAGGTTATATGTTGGGGCATGATAGACACCTACACCCTTCAGGATTCCTCTTTTAATTCTCTGAAGAATGGGTGGGGTCAGTGAACACAACTCATGGAGGACATGAAACCACAACAGAAGAAAACTCACATCATATCAGCTCTGAGTCTTACCTTCTGCATAAAGTCTTTCTCCATCAGCGATTGCAATCCTCTGAATTTCTGTGCCATGGAATAAATCTAAATCTAAACTCCGAAACTTAAGAAACATCTCATTTTTGCCTTCAGTTTGAATAATCCTCTGTCATGGTCTAAATGGAAAAAAAATATTGTCTGCTGCTGGTAGTTACAAAATTCTCTTCTCTGTCCTATGGGAAAACAATATGTGCAAACCTGTCATGCCCCTGTTGGAGTCTGAACCCAAGGAGGAGGAAGACGAACAGCTGACAGGAAGTGGGAGTGTGGCTTCATTGGCTGTGCAGGAAATTGGGTAAGGGCAAAGTCCGGCTGGGCAGAGCAGGGGGAGAGATAGAACAAGGGAAAGGGAGTTCAGAGGAAGACCCAGGCCTACCCCCTCTTCGTCCTTGGGCACACAGGGAATAACAGAGAAGAGAGCAATGTCAGTTGCATGGCTTATGGGGGGAGGAAAGGGCCCTGATTCCCTTCACTAGCCACACCTGGGAATGAGAGTTTAAAAGAGATGCAAGCTGATTGTGGCATCTGCAGGGAACAAATGTGAGTTTATCTTGTGTTGACTTTGGTTGTCTGTGTTTCTGGCATCCTCCCAACTGTTTTGAATTACTGCTGTTCCTTCATGCTTGGAATTCCTTCTCCTGCCCTGTTGGAATAATTACCACATCTTGCCTTGATTGGACTTATAATTACAGTTTTTTGTTGACCATGTTTTAGACTTGATTCTCTGCAGCCAAAGGCTGTTCCTGGGAGAGTTTTTCTCCAGCCAGAAGGTAACCAGGGCATTGGGGGCAAAGTTGGAGCTAATAAAGGGACTCCTACAGATTATCTGACTATGTTGCTTTTGTGCCATGCCCCTTTGGGTCATCATTAGAAGACCCTTTATTTTGGGGGAGGAAAAGAATCGGGGGGTGGGGGGTGGGAGAATAGAGTGTCTGACTAAATTCAAGACTCATTTCATTCAGAAATGGAATATGTTCTATGTGATGGTCTATTTTTTTTTTTAGCAAATAAAATTGTGATGAAAAATTGAGTTATATGTTAGAGACATTTATGAGCTTACAGAATATTGTGGTTTTGTTGAGAAAATGGAAGACTATCTTAGAGGTAGAGGATTAAAGGTAATTTGGTTTGTCTTAGAGAATTCAGCCCACAGAAGACCTAAGTCTTCATAAAGCTGTCAAAATGGTAAGGTAACCTGAGCTAATAAAAGTGCAGATCGCAGAACAGAGGCAACCTGAAAGCTACTTGGGAAGAAAAAAATAACCTGTCTCCACAAAATACTTATTGTGGAAGGTACAGCCTTTTGCCAAGACAGATTTCACTTCTGCGACTAAGTAAGATGAACAAAAGAAACCCCAGTAAAAAGCCCAAAGATTTCAAGATCATGCAGCTTGGGAAGAAAAAGCAGAAACGCCTGTGTACTCTTTAAAAATCCAGCATATTAGAAGGATTGTGAAGCTTGAGTGCAAAAAAAAAATGTTTTAAAACAGATCTCTTTGCTATTGCATATCACACACACAAATTCACAACACACACAAATTCACAAGTCAGGGGTGGGATTTTGCTTATCCTCCATTTTTAGCAAACCCTGAACCTATACGGAGAACCAGTTTGGCAGTGAATGACATAATTATAACATTCCATAGATTATGATACAAAGCCACTGTTATTTTTGTGGAAGACTCTGCTAACTTTCTAAGCTACGAAAGAAAGGAGGTTTATTAGACCACCAGGCTATTTAAAACATCTACAAATTATAAAGAATATCACTATGAAACTGCTGTGTATATGACTAAAGGCTATGGACTGAGTAATATTCTTAGATATCAAGGAGCAACTTAAATGGACTGGTTAACTGATCCCATAAGAATACTTCACTATATTTGCCAGAGTGGAAAGGATATAAGAGCTTGCTGTAATTAAGGGGATCAAAGAAATTATACCATGGTGTATGCTGAATGTCTGAAGAACAAAGGAAAAAAATGGAAATCTGTATTTGCATGAATCTTAATAAGCTTAATGAAACTAATGAATTAAACTGATAGATGACAGATAGATAGATAGATAGATAGATAGATAGATAGATAGATAGATGATAGATGGATGGATGGATGGATGGACAGACGGACAGACAGACAGACAGATATAAATAGATATAGATACAGGGGTGGGATTCTACCAGTTCGCACCTATTCTCTAGAACCGGTGTTAACATTCTAAGCAGTTCGGGGAACTGGTTGTTAGAAGAAATTACTGGACTAATCCTGTAAGGAAGGCAGGAAGGAAACATTCTGGTGTTGCTTACAGAAACTGCCTCTCCATTAACCCTTATTACATTCTTGGCAGGACTAGACTTCCTGTCTCAGGAATGTCTCTGGAGTTTTTTTTTCCTCCTTTGCTGGTACTTTGCTTGTGTGGAGTGACCATTCAAAGTTACAATGGCACTGAAAAAAAGTGACTTATGACCATTTTTCATACTTATGACTGTTGCAGCATCCCCACAGTCATGAGAGGCCAGGTGAGGAGATGTGTGTCTCGATGTGAGTGATATTGAGTTGGCCATGCCCAGCCAATAATATGACCACCAAGCCACATCCACCCAGTCACATGACCACCAATCCACACCCACCAACTAAGCCACACCCAAAGAACCAGTTGTTAAAAAAAATTGAATCCCACCCCTGGATAGATATAGTTGTAGAGAAGATGGAGAAGATAGATAGATGAGAGAATAGATAGATGAGAGAATAGATAGATAGATAGATAGATAGATGATAGATAGATAGATAGATAGATAGATAGATAGATAGATAGATAGATGATAGATAGATAGAATAGTGAGAAAGAGAGGGGGAGAAAGGGATAGGGGGAGAAGGAGATGGAGACGGAGAAGGAGAAAGAGAGATTCTAGTGCAGGAAGATTTACTTCCAAGACTGGAGTTAAATTCATTCCAAATGGTTTGACAAACGCTTCTAATGGAAGACTGAGGTCAGCTTATCTTATTCAAGATAGCTGTGGTTATATTTTCAGTCTTCTTAGGGCAAACGAGTGCACAATAGTTTATAAAGGTATGCTAACATCCTATGACGATATCTTGAACACCATCAAACAACAACATCTGCTTATCCCAGGTCCTTAGGAAGAACTCGATATGTGGAGAAGAATGCCAAATTCAATCTAAACATCTGGCTGACTGTGGGACCAACAATTAAGAATTTTATTAAATTTGCATCTTGCACAATTTGCCCTTGGGATAATAAAGAGACTTTTCACTCTAATGTCTGCACAGTTTTCAACTCTCTGAAAAGGAAATGTTTGGATATTGCTAAGATTTCATATTCTCTGCCTTAATAAATTACTCAAGAAAAGGATACATTTGGAAGGAAGGCATGCATTAAACAATTTGACGAAGTTCTAAACCAAAAAAGGCATGACAGACTGACAGACAGAAACATCAGACAGAAATACTATATCCGAAGTATTACAGGCTTATCCATCAATCATGGCATTCTATGTAATGAAAAAATTGCAAATGACCATAAATGTTGATTGCACACTTGATAGAAGGCAACTATTGATAAAATCTTTTAACATAAAATCTTTTAAGATTTAGCCTGATCTATCTATGATTCACCAGCAACCACAGGTCTGACCTCAAAACTGATGTGGTTGTTGCTTTGCACAACCATCACTTCGCCTGGAGAAGAAAAAGGAGGAGGAGGAGGAGGAGGAGGAGGAGGAGGAGGAGGAGA